CGTAGCCCTGTGGAGCGATATTTTCTCTGCAGTTTCCTAGCATTTTGCTTCAAAGTGCGCAGCTCTGCATTAAACCAGCGAGCCAGCTTTCTATTTTTAATGGTTTTAATTCATTTTCAAAGGGGCTCTCTAAGGCAGTATGCAGAGAACTATCAACCCCATCAATAAAATTCTCAAACTGTGAAGGGGAATAAACTAAGCTTTTGCACACTGCAACACTGCTCAGTGACTCAGAAGAGAGAGAAAGTGAAATGGTTTCTTTAAAATTTATAACTGCACTATCTGATAATGATCTGCTAGAGTGAAACCTTCTTTTGGGGGAGGAGAACTCTGTTAAAGTAATCCTGTAGGTTATTAGAAAGTGGTCAGAGAGGACAGGGTTGTGAGGAAATACTGTTTTTTATTCACATTCTAGGGCATATGTCAGCACAAGATCCAAAGTATGAAGATGAGAATTTGTTTACATTTTGCACAAAGCCAATAGCGTCTAAGATAGCATTAAAGGCTACTGTTAAGCTATCAAGCATGGATGGTAAAATTCCCCACTATGATGACCCTGTCAGTATTGAACACCAACCCTGTCTGGATGGAGTAATGAGTGGGTAACGGTAGAGAAGCTGCACAGACGTGTGTTAAACTACGAGTCTGCTTCCTTGTCTGCAACCTGGGCGGTCAGGGTTTTTGAGGACTAAAAATACTTTAACTCCTGGATGTTCAACAGCCTGAAGCCTGGATTCTAACTCTGACACCCTTGCTTTCAAAGCTACAACAATACTGCACTTATTACACATCCCATTATCACTAAAGGAGGCAGAGGAATAACTGAACATCTGACACAGAGAGCAGGAGAGAGGAGAGGAAGAAGGAACCGTTGGAAAAGAGTCAAGGGAGGGAGAAAGAGAAGCCATAGCAATGCTAAGCTAGCGCTAGCCGAGGCTAGCTACTCCTAGGCTAGTATAGGCTAAACCTTTGTTTCTAGATGCTGGAGCTTGGCCTGTTTTCCAGTGTAGTCCTGTTTCTCTGACTGTGACTAACTGGATGTGCTCTCTTCATCCTCTGACATGGGAGCTGGCTCGGAGCTCGTCTGCCTGGCTGTGTGTTTCCTGGACGGGGCCGCCTGTGGAGCTGGTTGACAGTTGCCTTTTGTATCTATGCTTCTTTTTCTATGTCTGCTTCTGTCTCCTTGAACCCCAGTGGGCCTCAGCAGATGGCCGCTCACACTGAGCCCGGTTCTACTGGAGGTTTCTTCCTGTTCAAAGGGAGTTTTTCCTCTCCACTGTCGCTACAAGCATGCTTAGTGTGAGGGATTGCTGAAGAGTCAATGAGTCGATGCAATCAACTGGTTTTCCTTAGATAGAAGAAGGTGAACTGTAAAGTACCTTGAGTGTGTGAATGTGTTGTGAATTGGTGCTATACAAATAAACTGAATTTAATCCTTACTCCCAGAAATAAAACTGTGTGAAACTGACAAATGCTCAGTAGAGAAGTAGAGATGTGTTAAAGTGGTTCTGGACAGTAAGTTACGTAGATGCAGAGATATCAAAGAAAAAAGAACTTTATTCAGACAGAGATAGCCTGAACAGCAACAACACTTCTTCACTTAGTAGTCAAAACAGGAAGTGAACGCAATACGTATCGCCAACAACAGCAGTAGCGCCCTCTCTTGACAGGAGGGGTTTTCCAGTGCCACTTTTACCAAGAAGATCAATCTGCATAAGAATTCAAATGTATCTTTAATATATATTTCATTGGCTAGATAAACATTTCAGAACAGGTGTCTTCTGTTCATGGCATGAAGGAGGATGAGGATCTAATTTGATTTATTTAATTGACACGGACAGTGTAAATTAAAAAGCATTCCTGCAAATGCACCAGAATTAGCCAAAAGGCTATTTTCCAGCTGTTGTCCCTGGACAGATCTTAAAAAACACAACAGTAAGCATTCTACAATGAAAAATACAAATATAAAAAGAAAAAAAAACAGCTATAACTCCTCAAAACTGATTTAACAATACAGAGTAATTGTTCGCTGGACTAGAGATTTTAGGTTTCACAAAATAGAATAAAACATTTAAACTATATATATATATATAGTTTAATATATATGTATGTATATATATATATATATATATATATATATACAGACATACATATATACATACTGTATACATACATACATACATACACACAGCAGAGACACAAGTGGCAGCATGGCTTGTTAATGATAGACATTCAACTAATGCTGACATGACTGATGTGTTATGAGCCAATTTTTTAAATGGTTTTTGAAAATAGTGAATGTTGTAAGTTTTCTGATGTACTGAGGGACAGAGTTTCATTCCTGAGATGCTGTAACTGCAAAGGTTCTTTGACTAAAAGCACTTTTACACAGAGGACCAACACAGCCTCCTCTAGCTGACCCGTGTTAATGTTGGCGTTTTCCTGATTGTCACAAACTGACTGAGTGGAGGAGATGACAGACCATGGACAGAGGTTTGCATACTTGATGACGTTTTCCCAGCTTAGAAGCTTATGTTTTAGTGTAATGTCACAATGTTGATATTTTGATGTTTTTTTTTATCCAAAATTTTTATTTTCTGTTTGTAAAGAGATTCTAAAGGTTTTAGTGAGGTTTTATTTGCCTATGACCAGGTTGTAAGACAGTAGGTGATGTGCGACAGAACCATACTGTACATGAACATGTTAGCTGCCTGGAGTGACAAGTTTGATCTTATGAAACTGAAATTTGTAATATTGAATTTGATTCTATTGCATACCTTTTTGATCTTGGATTTAAAACTTAGAGTCTATTAGAATGCCAAGGTATTTGAATTCTGACACAACTTTTATTTTTTCCCCTGTCACATAAATACCTTCAACCTGATTTGCATTGTTGGATTTAGAAAAGTACATTGAAACGGTTACTTTAAACACTTATCTTTTATCCCTCCCAGCTTTCCTCTCACCCCCATTAGGCCGAGGAAAAAACATGCTTCCACACTATATAAATAAATATATAAATATAATATAAATTCAATTGAATTTCAGGTACAGAGGATAAGGAAGGTTGATTAATCAGCCTTGATTTAAGGCTGATGAACTAACGAGGAAAAAGGCCAGCAATCCATCTGCAGAAATTGCATGCCTACTTGCAAGCATTGAGGCATCCACACAACCAGAAAACACTTTCAGTTTAGTTTGTTGCTGCTATCATTTATGCCAAGATTTCTTTTAATGATAATGAATGCTTTTCCACATAGATGTCATCCAGTGACTATAATATTTAATACCAGATTGATACAAAGTAGTTTAAAATGTGCATCTTCTGCATTTGCAGTTATAACTTTCATTTAACTATGTCACCATTCAAACACTGTGATGCCTCGGAAGTGTGGAGGTAAATTAAGATAAATAGACAAGTAGAACAAGTTAAGCAGCAGTTTCTGTCTATGTTTGTTTGTTTTTTTTTTTAGCAGAAATCCACTTATGGGAACCTCATTGGGATTTAGTAACTCCTATTCCCACCCACAATATCAGATTTTCCCAATCATTATGATTCACAAAGAAACTGGTACAGCATTTCAAGAAACTCAACTCTATTAGATTTTTATCTTTGCTTCTATATTAGAACTTGCAGATGGAAGTCCTGGGTATTTTTCCTGACATAGCAATAAAAGTTAACTTGTGTTTTTCCGATTTGAAATGCGTTAATGGTAAGATTATAGGTAAAAAAAATACACTTTCTTTAAAGTCCAGCCACTGAGCTTTTAGCTGCAAAAATCCCCTTCACCAAGAGTTGAGCCAAGGTGCTGCCTAGGGCCCCGACAGGACGGAGAGCATGAACTGACAGGCTTTAATATGCTTAAAATTTATTCAACACAGACCATAGATCTATAAATAAGAATATAATTTCTTTCAAATTTAATCTAGTAGTTTCAGGATAGAAAAATTTAACAATTTCAAATTTTAAAGTGAGGATATAAAGCATTTATCATTTTACTTTGTAAATGTTTATCCAATTATCCTACCAACCAGTTTATTGTAGATACGTTTTTTATATGAGATTGAATACGTATACATTTAATGAATGTAAGGATTTATAAGAAATTACTTGGAAAGTAGAAGTGCAATTCCAATAACTCAGAGAAGGGTCAAAACACTTAATGCACTTGTATGAGATGGGCTTAATGCACAGTGAAGCCAATAATGTCTAATGTCAAAGACTCACTGATGAACACAAGCTTGATGACTGATGCTTCTGTTCGTTTAGACCACTAATTGACTTAGAGAAGAATTATCTTGGACCTCCACCTCAACAGCCTTCTCAGCAGTGAAAATTAGTTTGTCCATTTCTACTTGAATTTCCCAATCCCATTACATCATTATAAAAGCAACATTCATTAACAGCACAACCAAGAGGAAATTAGTAACAACATATCAGTTGATTTGGCATAAAGAGTTCATAGTGTATATCTTAACATTGTTATGTGATCTTAGTAGTTACACAGCACTGGTACCAGACTTCACAGAACTTAAGACTGATGTTTCTCACATTATGTAATTAGTAGAAGAATCAGCTGTGTTTCAGTTGGTAGCTAGTCTAAAGCCAGCTTCAGCAATGAAAGTTTATGCAACATGTGCAGGGTAAATAAAGAGATTGATTACAACAGGTTGGACAAGAAAAAGCAAACAACTGATCTAGTAATGTAAGTTGACTCATGAGGAAAATAAGTTGTCACGTGTAACCCATTATGGACTTTTTGAGAAATAGATGGCAACGAAATGGCACAAAGACAAAGCGTTGCACTTAGCTGCATTTAAAATCCACAGGGTTGAAAACTGTAATTTGTTAAAAAAAAAAAAAAAAAACATTTTTGCACCAACGTATAATGTGCTTCTTTCTTTCATCTTATGTAAACAAGTTTCTGTGGCTGTCTGTGATGTCATTTGGTTCCTGTGCTGCATAGCTGAGGAGTTAGACCAGTCCTACTTTGACAAACCCAGAAAACAGTCTGCTGCAGTTGCATCAGGCAGAAGAGAGAGAGAAGTGGAGGAGACGCTCTGAAACGGCACCACTGTTGTGCTCACCAGCCAGGAGAGGACCTGCTTTTATAGGACAGACGTTTGGCGGTAAGGGGAACTTTTTAAAGCCTTATTTGATCAGACATAAAACATGACCATATTATATAAACGACTATTTTCATTTTCAACTTATGCTGCTTGACCAAGAATGCTACTTTAAGCATTGGGGTATTTTATTTATTTATTTTTTTTATTTAACTTTGCTTCTTTAAGGATGCAAAAATAAAATGTCCCTAAAAGGTTTTACTCCATTTAACTTGTAATTTCATATATTTTTCTTTTTAGGAAAACTACACTCCAAGGGGGGGGGGGGTGTAAGGTTTTTTTTTACATCTTTCTTTTGTCACACAAACCTTATGTGAATGCTTGAGGCATCGCCAAGGCAACTCCTCCACTAAGGGATCATTAGACTGTATGGCAGCTGTACATTTCAAAACTTATTCATCTGCCGTATTTAATGTTTTATCTTTACTGTTTTGATAAAATCTGTCACATGACAGGAAGAGGATCTTGAAATGCTTATCTCCTCTCTCTGCTTTCTCCAGAGCATGCACAGCTAGATACAGAGCGCAGAGGAAATAGGTCATATTTAATCTATATCATCACAATTGTTTTATGTATTTTTTTTTCGCTTGTATGTTGTAGGAAGGGATTGGATTAGTTTTATGGTTTAAGATATTGTATTATGTACTCTTTCTCTGTCTCAGCAGTTGCAACAAGAAATGGAGCAAGCGAACGTGTCAGACAGCATGGGAAACAACACAGACAACTGTCCCTCTATTGATGATTTCCGTAATCAGGTCTACTCCACATCATACTCCCTCATCACCGTGTTGGGCTTTGTGGGGAACGGTTTTGCCCTGATGGTGTTGATTAAAACATACAGACAGAGCACGCCCTTTCATGTCTATATGATGAACCTTGCCATGTCCGATTTGCTGTGTGTAATGACTTTGCCACTTCGAGTTCTCTACTATGTTAGAAAAGGTCATTGGGAACAAGGAGATTTTCTCTGTCGGATCAGCTCCTACTTTCTCTATGTGAACCTCTACTGCAGCATTTATTTTATGACTGCCATGTCGGTCACACGGTTTGTTGCCATAGTTTTTCCTGTGCAGAACCTGAGGCTAGTGACAGCGAACCGTGCTCGTCTTGTATGCCTGGGGATTTGGATCTTTAGTAGTGCTGCATCTTCCCCATTTCTTATGTCTGGTCAATCTAAAGACCCAATGACAAATAAGACCAAATGCTTTGAGCCACCAAAATCTGAAAGTGATCGACTACCCAAACTGCAGGGGCTGAACTACTTTTCTCTTGTAATAGGATTTATCATGCCGTTCCTAACTATACTTATCTGCTATGCCGGCATAGTCCGTACTCTTCTTTCTCGCACCCCAGCTGCCCGGCGAAACCAGGACTCAGCATCAAAAGCCATCCGAATGATTGTCATTGTCCTGCTGACCTTCCTGATCAGTTTTATGCCGTATCACATTCAACGCACCATGCACCTGAATTTCTTATCAAGGAAGTCAACCTGCTCAGAGCAGACACTCATGCAAAAGTCTGTTGTTGTGACACTGTGCCTAGCTGCCTCCAATTCATGCTTTGACCCCATGCTGTATTTCTTCTCTGGAGAGGGTTTCCGTAGCCGTCTGTCTTCCCTGCGCCAGACGGTAAGAAGCAGCGCCATGCGCCGTGCATCCAAACTGAAGCCAATCTCAAACTCAGAATCAGGGAAAGAGGCAGACACAATTTAAACTGCTGCAGATCTAGGGTTCTTTAAGCAAGCTGGGGATCTTAGACTGTAAGAGGATATGAAAGGAACATAAAAAGAACATAAAAAAGAAAACAATGTTTTACAAATGTTGCTGCTTAACTTGCAGCAGGAGTATGTAAATGTTTGATACATTATAAAACCAATGAAGAAAAGTTTCATTTAATGAATATTTATAAAAAAAAGACTGTTTATTTACTTGTACAATATGTAAAATTATATATCAACCTTTTGCAATTGGTTTCAGTATAATGAAAAATATGTCACAATTTGTATGCATTCCGGATGTTTTAATTTATGTTTCTAAGCTGTATGTTATTTGTGCATCTTGTACCGTAAAGGATAAACCTCTGGAAAAACAAATTGTGGCCAGAAAATAAACCTTGATCAAAACCATTTCTGTCCTTTTACTTCCACTGTAGTGTTACAAAATTGCTCACATTTATTTTCCAATATTTTTAAACTGCTTTCAATTGAGATGCCATAGAAAGTGTCAGAGTGACAGTTCTCTCTCTATCTGTAGGGCGACATAGCTCAGCCCGTATTTGCTGCACCCTGCTGGTTAGGGGAGGACTTCTATATAATTTACTTTGGTAGAATTATTAAACAGCATGGGATTAATTTCTACTATTATGCAGATGATACTCAGCTATATCTGTCTATATATCCAGATGAAGCCAAATGATTAAATGGATTACAGGCATGTCTGAAGACATAAATACCTGGATGACTCTTAACTTTCTGCTCCTTGATTCAGACAAAACATAGGGTTAGGGTTAGTTCTTGAAAAAGAAGCTGATTAGTCAGTCACTTCATTTGAATGGGATCAAATTGATTAAATAAAATGAATTTGCCCTTGATTTTGGTATAATTTATGCATTACACACAGATCAATAACATCTTCAATGCTCCAAAAAACTAAAAATTCTACTTTGGCAATTATGGTTTTATTTCTTTAATTTTCCCATTAGTTAATGCTGCTTAGGGGTTCTTCATAAGCTAAATTCACAGGGTTTTGATATGAAAACAAAAAAACAGAGATAACATACATAATTGCCTTGTAATGTCATGGCAACCCAGACCTAAATTAAATTAATATGCTTTCTAAAATATTGAAATATTTAAAGGAAACAAAGAAACTGTAATAATGACAATACAAGGATGACTCTAAAGCAAAAAGAAGCTGATTAGTCAGTCACTTCATTTGGATGGGATTAACCTGATTTCACATAATAAAGTAAAAAATCTTGGTGTTGTTTTTGATCAGGACCTGTCATTTAAATCCCATATCAAAGAGGCTTCTAGAATTTCCTTTTATCATCTGAGGAATATTGCAAAAATGAGAAATCTCCTGTCCAGGGGTGATGCTTAGAAACTAGTCCATGCATTTGTTACTTCAAGGCTGGACTATTGTAATTCTTTACTATCAGGAAGTCCACAAACTGTATTTAAAAGCCTTCAGCTGATCCGAAATACTGCAGCCAGAGTTCTGATGAAAATGAAAAAGAGAGATCATATCTCTCCTATCCTGGCTTCTCTTCATTGGCTTCCTGTTAAATCCAGAATAGAATTTAAAATCCTCCTCACATATAAAGCCTTAAATGGCCAAGCTCCATCTGTTATCAGAGATCTGATTGTTCCTTATGTTCCTAACAGAGCACTTCGCTCTCAATCTGCAGGTTTACTAGTGGTTCCTAGAATCTCTAAAAGTAGAAGGGGAGGCAGATCTTTTAGTTATCAGGCTCCTCTCCTGTGGAACCAACTACCAGTTTTAGTCCGTGAGGCAGACACCCTGTCTACTTTTAAGGCTAGGCTTAAAACTTTCCTTTTTGATAAAGCTTCTAGTTAGAGTGGCTCAGGTTATCCTGAGCTATCTCTATAGTTATGCTGCTATAGGCTTAGACTGCTGGAGGACATAGGGACCCCTTTTTCATCATTCTGCTTTATTCTATCTCTATTCTCCCACTCTGCAGAATCTGTTAGTTCAATCTCTAACATTCTGCTCTCTCTGCTTTTTCTTGTCTGCCCGGCTGTGTGTTTCCTGGACGGGGCCGCCTTTTACAGTTGCTTTTTGTATCTCTGCTTCCGTCTATTTGAGCCTTGTTCTGCTGGAGGTTTCTTCCTATTAAAAGGGAGTTTTTCCTCTCCACTGTTGCTACAAGTATGCTTAGAGTGAGGGATTGCATTCGAGTAAATAAGTTGATGCAGTCACCTGGTTTTCCTTAGATAGAAAACTTTGAATCAAATTGACTATCATCTGGTGAACTCTTAAGTGCCTTGAGATGATAAGTTGTGACTTGGGGCTATATAAATAATTTGAATTGAATTGTTTGTAAAAGAATATTATGATCATCTGTATCAAATACAGCACTGAGATCTACAGGACAAGTACAGATAGAAGTCCATTATCTGAGGCCATGAGAATATCATTAGTGACTTTCACCAGAGCTGTTTCAGTGTTATGATTAGCTTTGAAAGTCTTCAAAAAGTTCATTATGGTGTAAGTGGTCACACAAACATTAAAGACGCCGACACCCCCCACCCCCCACTAGGATGCTCAGATCATAATCTTTACTACCTGCTCTTCAATGAAATGCCAATGTGACAAGGACAATAGTGAAGAAGAAGTCAGAGAAAGTCTGCTCCGAGGAGGCCTCTGGGAAACTGAGGGATTGTTTGAGAACTGCAGACTGGAGCATGTCCCAAATCTTTTATGGTGATGAAACACAATGTGGAGAGCATCGTGCTCACACGACAGCTACGGAGCTTCCCAAACAACCACCCCTGTGTGACACCTGAGCTGAAAGTCTTTCTGAACCAGGACAGAAATAGACTTGACAAACTAGTGAGAAGTCCGTTTCTGTCCTAGGCTGCACTCTGGACTCAGTGGAGGAAGTGGCTGAGAGGAGGGTGCTGTCCAAGCTTCCACTCATCATGAACAACACCTTCCACCCTCTGCACCGGACTGTAGAGGAGCTGAAAAGCTCCTTTAGTAAAAGACTTTTACACCCTGTTTGGAAAAAGGAGCGCTACCGCAGGTCATTGATTCAATTAAATTTTCAATTCAGTTTATTTATATAGCGCCAAATTCACAACACATATCATCTCAAGGCACTTTAGAGTTCAACCAGATCGTACAGTTGAATTGATTCAAAGTTTTCTATCTAAGGAAAACCAGTTGATTGCATTGACTCATTGACTCAAATACAGTCCCTCATACTAAGCATGCTTGTAGCGACAGTGGAGAGGAAAAACTCTCTTTTAACAGGAAGAAACCTCCAGCAGAACCAGGCTCAGTGTGAGCAAAGCAGATATACAAAAAGCAGCTGCAAAAGGCGGCCCCATCCAGAAAACACACTGCCAGGCAGACGAGCTCTCAGCCAGCTCCCATGCCAGAGGACGAAGAGAGCATATCCAGTCAGTCACGGTCAGATAAACAGGACTACACAGGAAAACAGGCCAATCTCCAGCTTGTATAAACAAGGGTGTTGATGGCAGCAGCACAGCTAATGTTTCTCTCCAGGATGTCGTCACAGCCAAACAGGAACAGACGAGGCAAAGCTACTCTGAGAAAAAGCAGAGAGCAGAACGTTAGAGATTGAACTAACAGATTCTGCAAAGTGGGAGAATAGAGATAGAATGAAGCAGAATGATGAAATGGGGTCCCTATGTCCTCCAGCAGTCTAAGCCTATAGCAGCATAACTATAGAGATAGCTCAGGATAACCTGAGCCACTCTAACTATAAGCTTTATCAAAAAGGAAAGTTTTAAGGCAAGCATTGGTCTGAACAGAACA